AACGTACCGGGACCCTCCAAACTATCCCTTTTCTGTGTATTTCCTTTGCTAATTCATTCTACATTCGCGTAATGAAAAATTGATTTTGATATGGCATCACTCTTTTGCCTTTTTTCTGTGTAATGTACCGAAGTGGACTACTTGCGCATTGAATCTTACTGAGTTAGTGAGTGAAAAAATACCACTGTGAATGGGACGCATGTAATCCCTCAGGTCACAAGAGCTATCATTAGAAAATTTCAAGATAGCAGTTCACTTAGTACGTGCTTTTATTGTATCACTTATTTCAGCAGTAAATCACTGGCATCTGGGTGGGCAGGGCCCGGTTGTTGTGAGTTTTACTAACGCACTTGACTTCGCCACGCTAACTGGTTTTTATGCGTGTGGCCATCCGGTACATTGTTCGTTTATTTGATGCTAAGACAGAACTACAACGATTACATTGAGTGCTCTTCTGCGAAACTAGTACCGCGTGTTTCTGAATGTAGGTATTCCTAGCCTACCAGTTACTTGAAAATCTATATTTATTATTGCGTTTCGCTTTCAGAACTCCTGACTGGAGCGCCCTCTAAATCACACGATCGGAAACCACGACGTGCTCCGCGTGCGTCCGGCTAAATTTTCTCATTTCTTGCTTTCGGGAGGCGCGCGATCCTCGCCGCGAGTCTTGTCCTCGTGAGGCGCGCGATCCGCCTGGCGGTTCATTGCGGGGCAACCTGCTGGTGGCGCCTGTGCCCGAAGTCTTGCGCAAGCACAGCTCGAGCAGAAGACGGTGAGCGAGAGGGGCCGGCCATGATCGCCCAAGAGGGAATAAGATGGCCGCCATGTCGTCAGTAACGGAGCACCTTGACGACAGCGCGCCTGCCTGCGAGCTGCCCGCCTGCTGCATGGCCCTGGCAGTGGAACCCACTCCTGCATGGCCGTCGCCCCTCCCCACTGAGGTTCAGGGCCGGACTCCATGATGGATGTAATGCTGCTGCTGGCACAGAGAGTGAAAGTCTGTTAGTATTGTTTGATAAGAATAACCCACTGCAGACAGGACGTAGGCGATGGAATCGGGGTTTGGAGACGGGGAGAACGAAATGGTCACGAATGATCAGAAGAAATCTACATAGGACTCATTGATAAGGAATAAAACATCAATGAGCACATTGTAAAACAGAAGAAGCCTAAACAAAAAGAAAACAAACAATATCAAATACTGATGAAATGAAGCAGTGGGAAGGATTCTTACCTAGAAATAAGCTGATAAAAAAGGAAATTTTTTTATGCTGGTAAAATATTTTTGTATAACTACACAGTCATTGCTGCATCATATAAAAGGATAATTATAAGGCAGATGTTGAGATTCAATAACTTTGTTGTAAGTATCATGTCTTAAACATTTCACATTTTGGCCTCGGTTGTATAAAAAGATGCTTTGGAAAACCCACCTCAACTCTGAAGGTTATGCATTTCGCTGCTACCGATTAAGATAATACGGCGTCACAGTATGCGAACCAAGAGCGAGCTTGTATGGAAACGCCAATGCCGCTGTGGATATTTCGTGCCTCCACTAAATATCGTGTGTTTGTGACGAGAACGAATTCTGCGGGTAAACTATAGGACGAGCTTGTGACAGGAAACCAATATGAACAATACAGCGACACTGCGGAGCATGGCCGTCGAACTAAGAACTGCGGGTGGAATGTGTGGGCTTTTACGAATGCATCATCGTAAACTGGAGAACACTGGCGTGCTTGGATGCAGGTGTGCTATAAAAAACCCGGCGTGCCGAAAAATTATTTCGGAGTCCACCGCAACGGCGGGCCTCATAATAGTATCGGGGTATTGGCCTACAAAACACACACACACACACACACACACACACACACACACACACACACACACACACCACACACACACACACACACACACACACACACACACAAACACACAACACACACACACGCGCGCGCGCAGGTCATCAAGGTACACTACTGGTGCATAATAATGATCATGCATGTTGGTTTTAGAGTAGAATATGTCTATTCATTTTGGATGTGTATGCGATCAGATTAGAAAATTCCAATACATTCGATGATGTTCTGATTCATTCGGGCGTCGCTTTCGTCGAGTGGTAACACGTGCGTTATCCTGCGAAACCAAGGAGCAGATAAAGAGAGAGATGCCCAATTACGCTCGTGAATACCTACAGAGCGAGAGCGAATACGTACTTAGCGTGGATCCTGCGCTCCAGTCCGGGAGGTAAGCGCTTCGAGTGAGCCACCGTGAAGAAGCGAGAGAAGAGTACCTCCGGCGCCACGTACAGCTTGCCTCCGCTCAATCGGCACTGCTTGGCCAACATGTGCATGGTGACGTAATGGTCGCTCACGATGACCGCACGGCCGCTGTACAGTTGTTCCATGGCTGTTGGGGAGTACATGTCGGCGATGGGCACGAAACCATCGTGTCTATGTACCTGGCGGTTCAGGTCTCGCAGTGATGGTCTCTCGGATGTCTGCGAGCCAGCAACAAGAGCAAAGCAAGTTGTCACCTAAAGGCGCGTACGTGTTGCCAGGGAAATAGAGGCACGTCATGCACCTACGCCAGGTGGGCACTAATGAACGAATGTAGACAATGGTGATTACAGTCCATACAGCTTGATTAATCTACTCTAAACAAGACCAAGTACTTTTCTACGCTTTTCACGTTGGCTTTAAAAATACAATGTGCGCTTAGAGATGTGTCTAGTCATCGCAAATACTTACTTCAAAGTACACCTTCTTCTGACAAACCGTGTACACATAGCGAAAATCTTATTGCCTGTACTACGATGCATAGTAATAAGGGCTGCAGCGCGAGCACGAATCGCCCAAATCGCCATTCTTCTTTACTACGATGCATGTCACGCCAACGTACACACTAACGACAACAAAAAATGACGCTTATTTTTTGGCATCTTCCACGGAGATATATTTTCTTCCTCGATAACAGCATCCGAACCTTGGAATAAATGAACGATCAGAGACCGCCCCACCCACCCCCCCTTTTTTTTGCAGCTTGACTGTTATCCAAATTTTGCTAACTTGAGTCACCATTTTCATCATGAACCTGACTACGCCCACTGCAGGGCAGAGGTCTATCCCATGTCCTGCTTACCGACACCGTCCTGTACTTTCTGCTGCCACGTTACGCCTATACGAGCTTTTTAATCTCATCTCCCCACGTATTTTCTGCCGTCCATTCACGCCTATGCCTTGTATTAGAATCTAGCCGTAATCTCAAGTGTTAAGGCGAGTTTTCTCGTTGCCTTCGGGGTTACCCATTTTTCCCGAGAACCTAAAGGCACGCACAATGTTAGGCGTATGAAGTTTACGAAAAAAAAGAAAGGCTGATAAAAGTGCTGAACCAAGACAATGTTGTACATATAAGAAGAAAGGCAACATTATTACACGGTCACTCATCACATACCCAAGAAGCCAACATTTACGCAACCGCTGGAAGCTTGCAAACAAGTCCATGTGCTATTAGATGGACTCTGCTCGCAGCAGGTTGTATTATAATTTTTGAAGGGTGGGGAGGTCATTGGAATCTAAATTATTGAAATAATACGCAATCACTGGAGATTCTTGAATGGCATCGCTTAAAGTTAAAATAGCATTATAGCATTCAGAGAATGCCATTTTATAGTACTGACAGTATACGTTTAAGAGAAGCTTTCGTATAACTGAAGCGGTGATACAGGTGGTACGGGAGGTTAGATGAACTCACCCGTATGTAAGTTTCGTACACGGTGTGTCTCCACACCATAGGTCTTATGGCTGGTCGGTACACTACTTCGTCGGCAGAACGAAACCGCTGGTGGCTCTGTCTTGATGGCCATGCTGGCTTTGAGTTGTCCCGCAAAACCATTGGTCAGCACGAGAACGGTCAGCCACCAGATCGAGTAGAGGAGACGACCACAGTGGCTTGTCGTCTTTGCCGTGTGTCCTGTGTTGTAACCAAGCTTCTTTCAGGTTGACTCATTTAAAGGGGCCCTGCAACACGTTTTCTGCATGGTCAGAAAACACGCTGCCTTTCGGTAGTAGAGGCTCGTTACATCACGTCGAGCCAAATAATATACCACAACACGCGGCCTGGAATTCACAATAAATTACCAAAAGTCAGCTAAAAAGTGCTTTATCTTCTCTCGACAAATGGCAAAATAATCCCAAAAATCACACGTATTAACCCTCTACCAGCCATTGGCTGATTTAACCATGGCGCGATCGCTCGTTACAGAGATCGCCGCGGGATGCTGCGACTTGTCCACGCGTGTGAGCGCGATCACACCATAAAAGCGGCGCATTCAAAAAAAAAAAAGAAGAAAAAGTGCTCAAGGCCACGAGGCGCGTGTGACGTTTTTCTGTCGCCCTGCCATCCCTCCCTGCTTAGATTCCAGCGCACTCGTTGGGACGACAGAAGAGAAATTGCAATTGCAGCATGCGAGAAACCTTTTTGACTCCACTCAGACTGGACGGATTCTTAAAATTTTTGCGGCGTTGAATTCGTGAAGCGATAACCTTTTCCAGTGAATTCGTTACATGGTTACTTGGAAAAAAGCGTTTGAGTGTCCCCTTTAAGGTACATTAACTATATAGTACATCTTATAAACTACAGTCTCACGCGTAGAAGCCACACGCTCTATTGTTCACTCGAATAAGACAATCGGAATGGAATGGAATGAAAAAAAACTTTATTTCAGTCTTGCAGGACGCGCTTAGCGCGTAGCGGGCGTCTCCCACGTAGGGACCAACACGGAGTACCTGGCGGCGGCTTCGTGGGCCTGCTGGACGGCCCATTGCTGGTCGGCGAGAAGTGAGCTCCTGAGGGACCTCTCCCACTTGCTTGAGGTAGAATTGGGAGGAGTTGTTCTACACTCCCTGAGCATGTGTGCGAGTGTCGCTGTGTGTGCACGTGATGGGCATGTGTCGCTGGGGTATGCATCGGGATAATAAACGTGAAGCGTGGCAAGGTTTGGGTACGTGTGTGTCTGTAATAGGCGTAGGGTTAATGCCTGCGGTCGGTTAAGTTTCGGATGTGGGGGTGGAAAAATGCGGCGTCCAAGATAAAAGTGCTTTGTAATTTCGTTGTACGTGATTGGTGCATCCCGATTGGTATCTAACCCAGCAAGAAGGGGTTGCCCTGTGGCAGTGCGGTCGGTAAGTGCGCGCGCTGCATCATGGGCGATCTCGTTGAGGTTGGATAGGGCACCCGGGACCTGGCCGAGATGGGCGGGGAACCAGATGACAGTGTGGTGCTTCAGGACACTCCGGTCCGCTTTGCGCAGGATACGTAACGCCTGGTCGGAGTTGACTCCGCGTTCGAAGGCTTTGATGGCCGGCCTGGAGTCGCTATAGATGAATTACCGTTTGCTGTCGAGCATAGCAATAGCTATAGCAACTTGCTCCGCTACTTCGGGGTTTCGGGTGAGGATTGTGGCAGAGTTAAGAGTCTGCTGCTCGGATGATACTGCGACCGCGGCGAAGGCTTGGTTGTTGCGATAGGCAGCGGCGTCCACGAACGAGACGTTGTCCGCTTCCATGTCTATGCGCTTGAGAATGGCGGTCGCCCGCGCAAGGGGCCTGCCTCTGTAGTGTTCGGGGTGTACATTTCGTGGAATGGGAGTGATCGTGATAAGGTCAGCGGATTCGACGGGGAATTAGAGTCAACTAGGGGGGTCCCTGGCCCTCGAGGAGAAGAAGCCGAGCTCGCGCAGAATATGGCGCCCCGCCTTGGTGGTGATGAGTCGGTTCCTGAGCTTCGGCGATCTCTTCTAGCGAGTTAAGTACGCCAAGCTCGAGGTGTTTGTACGTTGGATTGGTGATAAGGAGGCCAAGGGCTCGTTTGACCACCTTGCGAATAAGCACATTGGGTTGATCGCGCTCAGCACGTAGCCATTTGTGTATAGCGGCCACATGGGTAAAATGTCACAAAACAAACGCATGTACTAGACGCAGCAGGTTGTCTTCTTTGAGGCCATGGTGCCTGTTGGCTACTCTACGTGCGATTCGTATGGCATTCTCAGTCTTAGTCCTGAGCTTGTGTACTGCTTGGGTGTTGGTTCCGCGGTACTCTCTCATCATGCCGAGGACCTTGATGGTGTCTACCCTAGGTACAGTATGACCATCTCTGGTGTGGAGGGTGGTATTGCGTTCCGCCGGAGGTTTCCACCCTTTGGGATTGGCACCCCGGCGTTTGGGCAAATATATCAACAGCTTTCACTTCGCAGGTGAGCACCTGAGACCGGTATGGTCAAGGTAAGACTCGGCGGTGTCGACAGCCTGTTTCAAGGCGGACTCAATGAAGCCATGCCACCCTGCGGAGCACCATATCGTTACATCATCCGCATAGATAGTGTGATTTAGCCCGCCGATTTTCGAAAGTCGTTCGGAAAGCCCGATCATCACGAGGTTGAAGAGCGTGGGCGAAAGGACGGATCCCTGAGGAGTGCCCCGCTGTCTGAGCTCCACTTCTTCCGACACTAGATCTCCTACGTGGAGGACGGCTCTGCGTCGAGTGAGAAAAGAGCGGATAAAGTAGTAAAATCGATGACCTAGGCCGAGGGCTGTGATCGCTTTCAAGATTGACGAGTGCGTTATTGTATCGAAGGCCTTTTCTGAATCGAGACCAAATATTGCATGAGTGTCCCGAGTGTTTGCGCCGTCTAGAATTTGATGCTTTAGGAGTAACATGGCCTCTTGAGAGGAAAGCCTGGTCGGAAGCCAATCATGTGGTGCGGGATGCAGCCGTTATCTTCGAGGTAACGTCCAACCTTGTTGAGGATGACGTGCTCAGCCACTTTGCCCACGCACGACGTGAGAGATATGGGATGTAGGTCAATCGGACGTGTTTTTTTCTATATCTGTTTATATCACTGGGCTGTGTTGATGGACCCCGCCTCCCGAAGCTTTCCAGTCTGCAAGAAGCTCTCCGCTCTGCTGGTTGTTGTTCCTTGTGTTGCCTGCGCGCGTAAAACACGTGACGGGTCCACCGCGTTGGCAATCTTTCGAAGGCATGTGCGCAGCGCAGGTTTCATAACAGTACGACTACAGCAGCCACGGTTCCTCAACAAGCATGCATGTGATGGAGTCACGGGAACCGGAAGTAGATGGTGTTTCAAGCAGCGCGTTAACGATGACGTATGCCACGCGAGGTTGGGAGGGGCGCTCGGTGAGAGGGTGAAGCGGCATGGGAGAGGTTACTAGTGGAGGGAAGCGCAGGAGAGAGTGAAAGGTGTGGTCCTCACGGTTTTGATAGTCAAACGCGTCTAACGTCGCTATTACTGCACCGTTTCAAACGAATTCTCACGGCTCCGTGTTCGGCGAGCACTCGTGCCCAATTTCTCCACAACAACTTAATTTCAACCTCTGGGTGGTTTACGGGCCCTTTAACAACCACGCGGGGACCGGGTGCGTATGCGTGAAGATATGCCTTCAGACATGAAGCATTATAACCCTTGAGGGCCAAAAAAGCTCCCCAATTTCCGAATTCTAAGGTACGTGCATACACACCTTCGTAGGTAAAAGAACGCAAGATGTCCCACGCATTCTCATACATTTCCCACACGAAGCGGCCGCCAGTGCGAGGTCTTCGCTTCTCGACGAACGCGAGAGCCGCGGACACCACCGGAATTGTGGCGAGGAGGACTAACCATACCTGCAAGAGAGGCGTCACAGAACACGTTGGTCCCCTAAAGTGTAAAACGCCTGACCACACGTAGGCGCTGCAGCACGCCAGCGCGTGCCTTTCTGACGCGGTGCCGGGCCCTCTACCTAAGAGAAGGCGCGCAGCTTCGAGTAGCCGTGCACCTTCTCCCTCCCCATAGGTAGAGTGCCGGCGCTATGTGCTAACGCGCGGCAGCGCGTACGTCTGGTTAGGAAAAATTACCAAGGCGCGCACTTTCAGAGTGTGACAAGTGAGGTAAATCGCTTTGGAACAGCCAAGTTACATTATCAATTGTCGGGGCGTAGTCAGGAGTTTATTGCAAGCTAGTCTCCGACGGAACTATGCACTTGTACACACGTCTCTGCTTGTATGAGTGAATGTTACCTGCACATGCATGTTTTCTTAACACTACAGATATTTAAATCCAATTCCCTCAGGGTGCTGTCACTTTGTTGGTTAACGGTAGTTCAGTATACACGTAACAGAGGGGTCTTTTTCCATGTATACAAAACGTGATTTGTTGCGATATTGCTGTGATAATTTGGCGATAAATATCTCGAATAACATGAAAACTTCCCTATTGTAAACTGAGGGTGTGCCATAATTGCTGTTCGAGTCTGGCAGGTAGTCCAGGTGGAAAGTTTCTGATATAAGGAATACTCTCTCCACCAATCACAAGCCTTTATACAATGAATGTTTTCTCTATCTCTATGCCATAAGTATTGTCATTCACATCTACTTTTTAATGCAAATAACTTCTTTCAAATCGAAGATTTAGAAGCTGATTGACAAATATTGGTAACTACTCGCAGCTTTGTCGTTCTAGCCAGGGCATAGAACTTTTTAAATTTAGGTGGAATTCGTGTGCGAACACGACCCGAGCCTTGTTTTCACAGGATTGTTATAAAAATTCCATGGTCTACTAAAGGAAATACCCGATACATACGCTAGCGAAACTCACCACCCAAAAACTCCGGGCAGGAGGCTACTCAGCGAAATTGAAACGTGCGAGCCTCTTGTTAATCACAAGCTGGAGTTTATCGAAGTGCATTTCGTATACGTTGTAGCCTTTGATTTACCTTTCACCTGTTTTAAGAGATGCAGGCTTCATATTTGAACTTTGTGTTGGGTAACGTTAGAATAAAGGACGTAAAAACACACAGATAGATGAATAACCTTATTTGATCCAGTTCTTTAGGGACGGAGTCCACTCCTAAGCGGCAGCCAGTAGCTTTTGGGCCATGGTGGCGTTGCCGACTTGCTTGACTGCTCAGATATACTCTTCAGAATTCGAGCTAAACACTACAGCCTCCCACTGCTTATCATTGACTATTCTGCAGCCCTGTCGAAACACATGAGAGCAAGCCCACAGCCTCAGGTCTGTTCGTTCCTTCTACAACTGCCGTTTTCCGTCGTTTGTTGTAAAAAATGAGCCCGGACGGATCAACTCGAACACGTGACACCGGAAGGGAAGAAGCGAAAGCCGAGGACACAGAGCTGGCGAGGGACGGCAAAACAGATAGTTCGCCATGACCACCGAACAAAGTCACGTTTCCTCTTACGGTTTGGGAGCCAGTCGTTTCGTAACATTTGGTGCCGGAAACCCGGGACTGCCCCTCGAGAAACGCCTTCACGTCACGGACATGGCGAACTCGGAAGAGCTGCGGAGGAAGTGAGGTGCACTCAGGGCTGGCGTCATGCGAGCCCTAACCCAGCTGACGGATCTTCTGCAGCAAAGGGATCATGACCTCTCGGAAGTTCAAGTACATCTTGACTACCTCAAGGACAAGGAGCTTATATTGTCAATACTGAACGACGCAATTCTTCCGCTAACAGTTGAAGATGATGTTGACTGCGAAATCGGAACGGCGCAGGAATATAGCGACAAGATCAGCTACGCCATCGCGCGCGTGAAGTACTGGTTGCAAGGTTGTCAGCAAGCTACCACGACGCATGCTGCAAGTTTCGGATCAGGATCGAGCAACACAGACCTCCCGAGATTCGTCGATGTGCGGACACGTCACAGATCGGTTGTACTGCCCAGGTTATAGATACCTATCTTCGACGGCAACCTGCGCGACTGAAAGGCCTTTTGGAATCTTTACGACGCCACGATCCACCAAAACCTCGACCTACCACGCACGCGAAAATTCAATTATTTGCTTACGTACTTAACTGGCAGCGCTAAACGGTCGATCAAAGGAATCCGGTCAGCCGAACAGAATTATGACATCGCTATTAAAACGCTCACGGATCGGTACGGACGGCGAGATCTCCTCATCAATGAGCACATGGATAATCTTTTGGCGTTGACTCCTGTGAAGAGGTTGTAAGAAGTTGCTAAACTTCGCATACTTCACGACAATGTGCTGTTCTGAGTGAGCCCGTTAGAAGGCCTCGGCGTGTCTCCGGATCAATGCACGGTATTCTGAATCGGATCATGATGCGCTGCTTGCCGGACGATCTTGCTATCATGTACCGACAAAGGTCGAAAGAGGATTGCCGCGTCAATAATGGGACGGAGACTTCCGAACACAGCCTGCGCCGAGCGAAGGACCTGTTGACATTTCTTCGCATTCAAGTAGAAGTGCGGGAGGCAGGTCGCCTGCAACCACGTCGCCGCTACTACGAAGGTGAAGACGGCATGGCGACAGAAAGCCCGGACGGCACGGAATTCATTCAATCGGCTGCAGCTGTTACTTGTTCCACTGCATCGATCAATCAAGTCTGCCCACTTTGCAACAGCCAAGAGCACAGTATTGTGTCCGGCACTGCGAATCTGTCAGCGGATGAAAAGTGAGTAAGGCTAGAGAATAACAACTGCTGTTTTCGCTGCGGTACTCGCAACCACATCGCAAGGACATGCAAAAAGACCATCAGTCTCACGTGTGGCGCTTGCCGTCACCGCCACCTGACCATTCTGTGCGACCTGTCTAGACCTGTCATCTAGGACCTAGTGCCTGCTGCGGAAACCTTTGCATCGGGAAGACCCTCTTCGCCAAGGCTTCTAACCATTACAACCGCCCAAAGCACGCTCTACGGATGCACGGCTGTGCTTTTGCAGACGATCCGTATATGGGAAGGTTCGGAAATCGACGCCTTCTTGTTCGGGTTCTGTTGGACAGCGGTAGCCAGCGCAGCTATATTCGCGCAGACACGCCCAGAATCTATCCTTCAGTGTTCTGTCATTGGAAGGGAAGAACTTTCTATAATGACATTTGGAAGGTCCAAGGCTCAGAAACGACTTTGCACCGACCTTGTCTCCATGTGGCTGCGCACTTGATTTAGAGATGCTGAAGTGGAGTTAGAAGCCTTGAGTGTTCCGGAGATCTGCTCTATAACGAGTCCAATGCTAGAGCACCATATCTTGCAGACGCTCGTCGAAAAAGAGTACCATGTGGCTGACGCATGTCAATCGAATACGTGGCAAGAATGCGACATCACTGTGCTGATAGGATCTGACGCCTATTGGAAGGTGACCACCGGCAAGATTGACCGCATCAACGAGACGCTAACGGCGATTGAAACAACGTTTGGATGGATGGTACAAGGTCCCTTATCGTCGGACATCCAGTACCCGTCTAGCGCACTGTTCATATCGAGCCGCCATTCTTCTCTACCAGACATAGACGTATCGTCTATGTGGCGTCTTGATGCCATTCGGAATCGATGGAAGCTATTCACAACCGTTAAAGATGGACGCACACCTCTCTTTATTGAGCGCTACATAACGAAGCAAGATGGACGTTATCAGAAGCCGCTCATGGTGGAACAGCCAGGACTACCAGCTGGAAAAAGTAATCGCCAACTGGCATAAGAGCGACTACAACGTGACATCAGCCGTTTCCGAGAGCAGTCAACAATACTAGAGAAATACGACCTGGCTATTACCGCATATTTCGATGACGGACATGCTGAGAAGGTGCAAGAAGAACAGCCAGTCGGAGATAATGTACACTATATGCCTCATCACGCAGTAGTTCTTCGGGACTCCGTCACAATGAAGCTTCGAGTGGTGTTTAATGCGTCATCACATGAAGCTGGTCATCCCTGCCTTAACAATGCCCTATCGAAGGGCTTCAAACTCGGCGTGGACATTGTCCAGCTACTGCTGAACTTTCGCTGCCACCCTGTCGTTCTTGCAGCCGACATAAAGAAGGCATACTTAAGCTGTTGATTCGGCCCAAAGATCGCGACCTTCTGAGGTTTTTGAGGCTGGAACGACGGCTAACTAAGGGAGAGCCCATACCACCGATTACAACTTGGAGGATGAACAGAGTACCGTTTGGAGTTGCATCAAGCCCGTTTCTTTCGGCGGCTACAATTCATCATAACCTGCGATTTTGTCAGCAGATTTATCCAGAAACCATAGCCTTATTAGAGCACGCGTTTTACGTAGATGATCTTATCATCGGGCTACCCAGCGCGCAGGCGGCAATGAAGGTTTATGAAGAAACGAAACAAATATTCTACGAGACAAGCATGGAAATTCGCAAATAGACCTCCAACGCGACGAGTTTGAAAGAAAGATTCTTGCGTGACAGCTAAGTCATCGAAAATGAAGCTGGAGACAATCTAATGATGAAGGCTTTAGGTGTTCCCTGGAAACGTTCAGGCGATCACCTTATCTTGGGCACTGAGCACGCAGCTATGTTTGCTGCTGGAAAGCCTCCTACCAAACGTACAGCCCTGAAAACCTTGGTCAGAGTATACGACCCACTGGGTTACCTCACTCTATTCACCATAAAGGCTGAAATGGTATTCCAAATTCTATGGAAGAAAAATTCCGCAGGGGATACCAGTATGCCTGAAGGTGAACAGGCCGAACGGAATAGTTGGTGTTCGGAGCTGTCTGACTCGTCCGTCACTGTTCCACAATATATATTCTTACGAGACAAAAATAAGCCCTATTTGTTGGAGGTTCACGTCTTCGCAGATGCCAGTCCTGAGCATATGGTGCTTGCATTTACGTACGAGTGAACTCGCCAGCCGAAACGTGCTTCACGCGACTCTTGATCAGCAAGGGCTGACTTGCTCCTCTGAAAATGGTATCGCTTCCACGCCTGGAGCTCCTGGCATGCCCATCGTGATGCGGCTTATACACTACGTGCAAAAGGTCCTTTTTTTGAAAGGCCACTGTTACCTTTTGGACGGACTCGCTTCTGGCACTAAACTGGATAAAAAGTTCGGTGACCAAGTTGGAATCATTTGTAGTACACTGTGTCACTGAAATCCAGCAGCATACCAGACCTTCCCAATGGTTTCACAGTAGCAGCAAAGAAAATCCCGCCGATGTCATCACTCGAGGACGATCACTTTCGGATCTTACCAAATCGTCCAAGTGGTGGCATGGACCAAGCTGGCTGTGTGACAAAACAAGGTCTTTTGAAGGTATGGACGTCAGCGAATCTAACAAAAAAATACTGTTCACCGAACCGCAGCAACTGAAGAATGATCAAGGATTTTCCGCAGAAAGTACGTCCGTTTGTTCATCTACCAATGATGTTTGCCACGGTGTCGTGCCCCTAGAAAAATTCCGGCTCTTTAGCAAGACTGCTAAGAGTAACTGCATCGATCAAGCCTTTCAGCCGCCGCGCAAGATGCTTCCCATCAACGTCTGGTCCTCTGACAGCAGAATTATTATTTCAAGCTGAGCATTATTGGTTGCATATAATGCAGGAAGACTCGTTCCCAATCGAGGTCCAAGCGCTGCAGAAAGGTCTGCCATTACCTTCAACATCCCCTGTACTTCGTTTGTGCCTGTTTATTGATGAGGACGGCCTACTTCGCGTTGGTGGGCGACTGCAAGAGCTGCACGCTGAACAGGACATTCGTCACCGCATCTTACTATCCATAAGCTCACCACCTTGCTTGACCATAAGCTCACCAGCTTGCTTGTTTCGGCAGCACATATGCGTACGATCCACGGTGGTGCTGAAGCAACCCTCACTGAGCTTGGAGAGCGTTTCTGGTTATTGAGAGGGCGTCAAATCGTGAAGAGACTCATTTTTCAATGTAAAATGTGCAAACGCTGGGAAAACTACAGTAGAGACAGCACCCACTGCCAGCTTCCTCGCGAAAGAATTACAGAAACGAGCCCTTTCACAATCCTTGGGCTTGATTACTGCGGGCTGCTGTAGGCGGAGTCAGCAAGCGGTCCAAGAAGGACTTACATACTTTTATTTTCGTGCGCCGTCTGACGCGCCATTCACCTTGAGTTAACATCAGACATGACCACCGCCACAACCTTGGTCGCCTTTCGCCGTTTTGTCGCACGCCGCTGTGTACCCTATATTATGTACTCTGACAGCGCCCAGACGTTTCGGAGTTGCGCTAGATGGTTTGCATCTGCGCTAACTGCTCTTCGCGAGTACGTTATGGAGATCAGGATAAAATGGAAGTTTATCACAGAACGCGCTCCATCATGGAGTGGATGGTGGGAGCACCTCATTCGTACGACATAAACTGCTCTCAAGATGTCGCCTCGGACGCAGTAGTCTTGACGTAGAAGGCCTCACAATGGTGCTGTGTGAGGTGAAAGCTGCGATCAACAGCAGACCCCTCACCTATCTTGGAAATGAGCCTAACGAGTGACAGCCCTTAACCCCATCGCATTTCTGGCTGGATAAACGCATCAAAGCATTGCCACAACAGTGCTCATCATTGTCTCACGTATACGTTGATCTGCGAAGAAAGGCTCGTCATCGCCAGCGTTTAACAGGGGAACTTTTGAAGAGATGGAAACGAGCGTACCTGCTATTGGTGCGGTCGGCAGACAATCGCTCGACATGGCTACAACAAAGCTCTGAGTTGGTGATGTAATGCACTTGCAAGCAGACACGGCCTCAACAACGTCATGGAAAATGGGCAGAGTGCTTGAGCTATCGCCAGGGAGAGGTAACATTGTGCTCACTTGCTCCATCCTTCTCGCCAACAGTTCTGTTGTGAATCGCCCTGTCGAAAAGATTTGCTTGCTCCAAGCCTCCGATTTACCTTGACCGGCCCCGGATGACGTTGAAAAAATGAACTGGAACGGAGCAACTAGAACGTGCGACACCGGGAGGGAAGAAGAGCAAGCCGAGGGCACCGAGCTTTTGAGGGACGGCAATACAGATAGTTCGCCACGATAGCCGAATGAAGTTGCGTTTTCTCTTACGGTTTGGGAGCAAGTCGTTTCGTAACATTATTGTTCCTGGTAACAACGGCTGTAAGCCACCACCTTTTTCCGAACCGACACTTCCCAAGAAACACTAAATAATTTTATAGGTAGTGATTCATGCTACGGACGCTATCATCCCTAGTCATATATGCTGTAAAAAACAGAAGATAAATTAGTACAAGTGTTGACCTGTATAGCAGCCAGGCATGCAAGCGTTACTTATTCATTACATACAATTCCTGCACTGCAGTCACAGAGCACCTGCGTTTTCCAACTTCCGAGCCATATATATATATATATATATATATATATATATATATATATATATATATATATATATATATATATTCCTCCCGAATATACCTACAACCAGTGGGCTAACGTAAGGCGAGTATGCAGTTGAAGCGTTTGGCATTTCTACATTGAAATATATAGATAAAGAAAACCTAAAAATTTCGTTGTCGGTAAATATGACCAACGTTCTTAGCGCAGAACTACAAAAACTGCTGCACACACCATGAACAAACTCGTGCAGATTTATTCTGAGCATGTCATTCGCTGTCATGTCGTGCTCCAGAGTAAGCATGGCGCTAGGAAGCGGAGAACTTCTTGAAATTGTTAAATTTCGCATGTGTAATTATATACGTGCCCAACATAAAAACGTACGAGCTCACATCAATAACGCATTGTTCGATTCTTCACCCTGTTCTCAGAAAAAAATTTCTTTCTATAGTACTAATGTGCAGTTTCTTTTTTTTACTCTTACTCAAAGTTGATCATACTGAAAAACGGATCGTAGCACATGCCTTAAACCTTAACCTCTCCACAGTCCCATACCCATATTACACTAGGGCAGACAATCTCATCTGACTTGCCTCCCAGTCGAACACAAACAAGTAGCTGAATGTGTTCACGCCGGGCTCCCCTGCGACGGCTATGAGCACGCAGTGGCTGGTGAACAGGACGGGCGCATACGTCGCAACCTCGGTGCGGTCGTAGCGAACGAGCACGGGGGCAGCGGCCAGGTCTGCAGCCTAGAAAATAAATAAAAATAAATAAATAAATAAATAAATAAATAAATAAATAAATAAATAAAAAATCAATTGATCAACCAATCAATCAGTTAAATCTAGATTTACCTCGTCAAGCACTTCCCTTTCCCCAGTGCAGGGTAGCCAACCCGCAAACTTTTTTTGTTTTGGGTTAAATCAAAGAGGTAGCTGCACAAGTGCAAGACGGTTAGCGATGAATTCTAAAACGATCAGTGCAACGGAGCATACACACCTGAATGAATCAGGCCTATGAACGATAAATTAGGCACAAAAGAACGAATGGTGAGCCACTCCCACTCTGAAAACTCATGCGTGGCTGTCTCTTCGTCAAATATGTTTCTTAAACAATTGCCATAACCTGTTAAGGGTAATTAAACCAGAAGGACTAATTCTTTATTGATACAATCATAAAGAAGCTTAACACCCTCATTCTGAAAAGCATCGAAAGGGTGTTCGGTATCACCATGGCTGTTAGCACAGAACGTTTCTGTCAATTCGGCATCCACAATACGCTAGACGAAAGTGTTGAAGCACAGGAATCAGCCTAGCCGCCTCGACTATCCAGCTCTTTAGCAGGGAGAAAAAAACGCCACGCCTGCGCGGTAGATGCAGCACAGTCACTGCGAAAGCTACAAGAGCGGCCTTTCAGAGCCTTTTCAAAACACTCATTGGATAGCTACCGCAAGCACACTTGCTTGGTACCCACTAGAGGGCATTAATAATAAACTTCTGGGTACTAGGCTGCCATTCCCAATGCTATTTTCGTCATTCTTCTGAGAAGCGTGGTATCCGCTAAACACTTGCAAATAATTTTGTGCCAATTGTATATGCAGTGACTGACGACGATGAGGAATTATGGCTGAAGAGCGTATACGCCACTGCTAATAGGGGAACAAGAAGAAGCTTCTGTGATAGTTTGGAGCATTGCACGGCCCACTCGTTACGCTGTTCGCATTGTGCGATGACTAGTTGTTCTTTCCCTGTTATAAAACGCTCTATAAGTTGTAATAATGCGATTGCTTTCCAAACATCAAGCCTGCCTAAACCCCGTATTCACAAACGTTCCTCGACTCGACTTTCACCCTTCACTTGACAGAGTTGAACACTGCGCCACTGCTCGGCTGAAAATGACACTGTGCTACTCAAGAATTGCTGCAGATTATGACAAATATGCAGTGACAGGCCGTGCCTAAAGTAGGCGCTCCCATCAGCTTTCTCAAGCGAAGGTGAAGCGCTGAGTGAATGGACGTTCCAGAATACGGTGGTAAGGCAAGTTTGACAATAATGCATGAGCACCGGTGTAGCTCAGTGTTTACCACCAATGTTTCGGAAGAAGAAAGGGTATTTTTATTTCGTTTGTTAACTGCCGTCTGTGTGATGCGTCAAGAACGATTGAACATTGCTTTGTTAGCTGCTGAGATGCCACACTGTTTCGGGGTGTCCTTCAGCGAGCACTAAAAAAACGTTGCGTCATTAATTCTTACACAATACGTTATCTTCTACCAGCAGCGCTTGATGAAGTGCCATATGATATGTTTTTCCCCATGGGTATGCATAGCTTGTGGAAGACACGAGTGCAAGACCGCAATGCAGGGCCCACCACCTTTTCAAGCACTCACTTTTTTTCAAATGGCAATCCAGCTCAATAACATTTACTACGAGCTAGACTTTAGACCGGACTGGTACTACAATTTTAAAAGTTGTTTGACCTCACCTCTTTCTTGTTTGCATAACACGATGTGAAGAACTCTCGATGTGAAGAACTCATGCTGTGTTAGCCATTGAGTGTTTATGAGTAACGCTTGGGCGCTTATTGTCGCCATTTGATCGTACTTTCGTTTGCTTGATTTTGTTTTTATGACGCAAATACTTTATTAAATACCGTAAAAAACACTGTAGCTCAATAGTAGAATACTGGGCTGGCACCCAGTGGACCCGGGATCGAGCCCGAATGTGCCATTGGTGCTAGATCATGCCTGCCTAAGGCAAGTTTACAACAAGTTACAAGCACCGGCACAACTCAGTGGTAAAATATTAAGCTGGCACCCAGCGCACCCGGGTTTAAGCGCCACTGGGTCATTGATGCAAAGTTTTTTTTTTCTATTTTCGCGCGATGTGGTTACGAACACCGGCGGCGGCAGCGGTGGTGGAGAACAACAACGATGCGTGACCCAAAAAGTGATCTCATTACAGCTTTCACTGTAAAATATTTGCCATTCTAGACTCTAATCCAGCGCTGGCTAAGGAGAGACGCCACTGAATCATCGCAAAGTTAAAATATTTTTGTTGCGCCAATTCCTCACAAATTTCCACCCGCAGCACAATATGAGAAGGCGTACATCAAGCGATGCTGCAGCATGATGAAGATCAAGTATGATCTTTAATTGGTTTGCTTCGTAGATGTGGCACAGTATGGACATTCATGTCACTATGCCATGGTCACAATAGATAACAGAGTTCAAATAATCTCGTCGGCCTCTCTGACAGGACCAACCTCTTTTAAAATGAAGCAAGTTGCTATTGCTTTGGCACTCTTGAATGACAAGAGCACGCAAATCTGCTCAGATTCTGGATCCGCCGTCAGGCTGTTTGCAGTGGGCTCCTAAGAGGCACATGATGTTAGCAAGAGGAGCATAACTATGCACACTTGGTTGCCGGCCTAGCCAGCTCGAAATTTGAACTCGCTCATCAAACTCGACGGCATCGCCCACTCCGATGCGCGCCCACTAACTCTTCGCGTGGGAGGAGAAGTCTTATCACAATGCAGAGTTCGAAAGTTCAGTGACACTTTATTCACATTTAATAAATTCACAAAGCGTTTCGATCTGGAAAGAAGAGTATTTCCTCGGCCACACAAAATTCTCACGAGACCACAGGCATGACCTTTAGGATGCTACAAACTGTTCCTTATCCGAATCTCGGTTTCAAGCACTGTCTATTTCCGAGCTACTGCAGCTCGCAACGTACTCACGGTGGGAGAACGTATGATTTAGAGCCCATGCCTTGGCAGTGCCCTTGTTACGTGGAGATAAGTACCTCGCAGAGCAGAAATGGAGCTCGGCCCTCAATAGCTTGGTATATTATCATCAACTTTGGGCTGTTCAGAAAGCCTGCAATGCGCCGGTTAGGCTATAGGTTTAACTGTCCCCACGTGGGAGCGGCTCGAGGTGTTCAGTTAAGGGATGCCACTTCTCCGGATCCTTCAATAAAGTTCTTCATACCGTATGATATGCAACATCTCAGAGACAGAGAAATGAGCATTAAATTTACACGATACAATGACTTGAAAGCTCTCTATCCCTCCCAAGATAAACCACTTTGCGCTAAGAAATATTGCTTCAATTCGTAGCCCTAGTTGAAGTCGCCACAGTGCTACTTCTTTCGCTGTCCTTTTTCGTCGTATTGTAGTTGGCACAATAATAATACAAGAGCCGCTGCTTTAGCCTTGACAAATAATGTATACTTTCCACGGTGGTCTAGAGGTTGTCGCGCTCGACTGCTCACCCACAAAGCGCGGTATCGAATCGAGGCTGTGACATTTTCGATGGCGGCGGAAATGCCAGAGTTCCGTGCGCGTAGACAAAAGTGCACGTTAAAAAACCTTAGGTGGTCTGAATTTTCGCATCACTCGAATACGGCGCTCCTCATAATCAGATTGTGGTTCTAGTATGTAAAGCACAAAATACTACAATACTACTACTACTACTACTACTACTACTACTACTACTACTACTACTACTGCTACTACTATATTCTGGTAGTGGTGACGCAGCAGACACATGGTACTGAGCGTGCTTTTTCATCAGCTCAATAACAGCTGTACTGCATGCCATATTCTTGTGTATTCCACGTTTACTTACCCCGCTTTGGATGAGCCCGATGATGCCCGTGTAAGTGCCATTGAGCAGGCGCACTCCAAAAGACAGTCGCTGGTCGTACACGATGTCGTAGCTGCAGTTCGAAGGAATGGCGATAGAAAATGGACGTTCTGTAAACCATTGCAATGGCCCGTGCAAGAATGCGGGACAGAACGAAGGGACTGAATTGACGAAGCCTTCATCTCGCAAATGGTCCTCGTCGTTGATGGCCCGGCTTTGTCAAACTAATGTCCTTTACCATGATTGGCTGAAAATTTCTCTTGGTAAGAATTCTGATGTAGGAAACTTCTGCAAATAAAGAGTTGTATTCTAATTGCCCAAGTAAAGTTTTAATACGGGTTTAATCTAGTCTCATGCTTAACACCCTGGTGGTCTAATGGTCAATGTGCTTGAAGATCGCAGGATCAAAACCCAGCCTCGACGGCCGCATTTCAATGGATGTATTGTGCTAGAGATCCGTGTGTCTAGATTTAGGTGCTGCTGAAGTAGAGATTAAGCTCGAAGTATATGTATTAGTCATTGCAGGAGATGCCAGTGCACGAGTAAAACCATGATTATAGGCTCTCATATATGACATCGTGTAAATGTTCAAATTGTTTAACAAATTTGCTACAACAGACACAATTATTATTGCTTGCTGAGCAACTCTTTTCCGCCATGTCATCATCATCATCAGCCTGACCACGTCCACTGCAGGACAAAGACCTCTCCCATGTTCCGCCAGTTAATTTGGTCCTGTGCTTGCTGCTGCCAATTTATACCCGCATACATCTTCATCTCATCTGCCCACCTGAACATCTGTTTCCCCCTAAGCCGCTTACATTCTCTGGGAATCCAGTTAGTTGCCCTTATCACCAGTGGTTATCGTGTCTACACCATGTATTTCGGATTAAATATGAATGCAGTTATTACGTCGAGACTGCGTACTAGGTTCATGCATGACAACAACACGGTGGAAATGATATAGCTATGACGCGGAAATAAAAGTAAGCAGCAGCTTCGCTCGGCTATGCATGCGTATACGTAGCGTGGGCTGCGGCCTGAAGAACAAACCATGGACGGATGGATTGACGAGCTGCGGATGGAAGGATGGACGAACCACTTATGAATGGACAGATGGACGGGTGGAAGAACCACGGACAGAGAAAGAGATGGACCACGGATGAACGGATAGACAGGCGGGCGAACCAAAAACGGACAGACACGTCATTTCATGAGCTCTTAGGCCTTCACTTGTGTGCGCCAGCTGTGTGCCGCACGAAGTCACTGTTTTCCACGCTTGCACAGAACGGCTCATCGTAAGCCACGCGGAATGGCTCAACCTCAGCCAGTGCAGCTTACGCTACAAAACACCTGGCCGATCTCATGCACTCTGGAAATCAGTGTGATTCGAACCAGTTAAGTACGTGGTAGCAGCCTATGGCAGATTTTTTTAGAGAGAGAGATAAAGATGCAAGGAAAGGCAGGGAGGTTAACCAGACGTACATCCGGTTTGCTACCCTGCACTGGGGAAGGGATAAAGGGGAGAAAAGAGGTTGCAGAAAGATGAGAAGGTACACACAATCACGAGCACACTCGGGGAGCACACACAGTCTACAGGCGGTCGCTCAGGTTTGTTAAATTAACGTAAAGTAGCAGTGCTTTAGTTGCTTTCTGCGCAACTGAGGCAGATGCCCAAGGTCCTAGTATCTTCTGCACACAAAATGGTCCGGGGTCAAGTCGATTGAAAACCATCCGGAGCTGGCATCGCTGTGTGTCGTAGCAAGCGCAGCTGCACAGGACGTGTTCGATGGTCTCTTCAGCTCCGCAGTAGTCGCATGTAGGAGTGTCTGCCATACCAATGCGAAAGGAGTACACCTTTGTAAATGCAACACCCAACTAAAGGCGGCATAACAGTGTCGCATCGGAGTGGGAAAGTTGTGATGGTAGCTTTAGCTTGAGCGAAGGATCCAGTTCATGAAATTGACACCTTCGGAAGCTGGTAGACGACCAGAACGTGCGTGTGAGATCTCGAGCCAGCAGGTAAAGTTGTCTCGCTGCATCATTCCTTGATAGAGGAATCGGGACTACACGGGTTTCTTCATGGGCTGAGTGGGCTGCATCATCGGCTAATTGATTTCCGGTAATACCGATATGTCCAGGCAGCCATTAATATATAATATCATGCCCTCGTGCTAGAGCTTCATGATGGCAATGTCTTATTTCTTGTACCAGTTGGTCATGACTCCTCCTACGCATGGCAGACTGCAAACTCTGAAGCGCTGCCTTCGAATCACAGAATATGACCCATTTTCCTGGACGTTCTTGAACGAGATATTGTAAAGCAGCCCTTATAGCAGCAAGCTCTGATGCCGTAGATGTAGTCATGCGACAACTTAAACTTGATTGTCATTTCTGCAGCCGGAATTACAGCGGCACCTGATGAGCTGCTGGATGAGACAGACCCATCAGTGTATATCTGCGTTCGGTCAAAGTACAACTCATGTAATAATAGCAGTGTTGCCTGCTTCAATGCTACTCTGAAGTGACTGCTTTTCTTTTTGATTCCCGGAATTTCTAGACGTACTTGCGGCTGGTCGAGGCACCACAAAGGACATGCCGTTCTTGCAGCTGGCGTATATCCTGATGGAATGCTGTTTAGGTGCTTGGCTATGAGGTCTGAAAACGTAGCACGTGGCCTTCCGGAAGGTAGAAGGGCCAAGTGGTGGTCGGGGACACGGCTAGCATGTCGAATGTGCGCTCTGAGGCAATCCACAACTATATATGTCCTGACCGGATGGTCTTTGGCAAGCATGATTGTGGCATAAGTAGAAGCGCATCGGGGCAATCCTAGGCAGATACGCAGTGCCTGACCCTGCAAACTCTCCAATGAATGAGTATTCGATTTGCTAGTGTTAGTCAGTACCGGCAAGCTGTAGCGCAATAGACCCAGAAATAGGGCCCTGTACAGCTGTAGCATGGAGGCCACAGAAGTTTCCCATGCTTTACCGCACAAGAATTTCATGATATGCACAATAGATAGCAGTCTCTTCTTCAAGTACGCACAATGTGGGCTCCACGAAACACTTCTGTCGATTATTATGCCCAGGAAACGATGCGTCCGTGCATATTTGACACTCTGTCCATTGATGTAAACAGGGTATGGCGCCATTGGTTTGCGTGTGAACGCCATCAACGCGCACTTCACAGTTGATATAGTTAGGCCTTGTTTCTGAAGGTAGGCTGTTGTGAGGGTTGCTGCCCGCTGTATTCGTGCACGCACCTGAGAGCGAGTAACAGCAGCACTCCAGAGGCAAATATCATCGGCGTATATGGATAGGCACACCGACTTTGGCAGAACCTTCACCAGACCAATAAGAGCCACATTGAACAATGTGGGGCTTAAAACACCTCCAGGAGGTACTCCGCAGTAGGTGTAATGTTGGGCAGTTGTACCCTCATATGTTTGTACAAAGAAACCCCTGCCAGTTATATAATCTTTCATCCATTGAAACATTCGTCCACCAATGCCCATTGCTCCGAGAGAAGTGAGGATGGCATCGTGAGCTACATTATCATATGCACCCTTCACGTCAAGAAAGAGTGCCACTGATATGCGCTTGCGACTTTTTTCTTGTTGAACAAATGTCGATAAGTCAAGAACACAGTCAATGGAGGAGCGGCCCCGACGAAAGCCTGCCATGCAAGAAGGGTATTTGGTGTATCGTTCCAAGTACCACTCGAGACGAAATAGAACCATTCTTTCCATCACTTTTCCGAGGCAGCTTGCGAGGGTAATAGGGCGATACGCTGTCAAGTCCAGTGGTAATTTTCCCGATTTCAAAAGTGGTATTATTCGACTTATTTTCCATTCTCGGGGAACACTGCCGCTGAGCCAGGAGTTGTTGAAGCATGTTGAAAGTTCTTTTCTGGCTTTTTGTCCAAGGTGTCCCAACGCACTATAAGTAATACCATCAGGACCTGGCGATGACATGCGCTTAGAAGCGACTAACGCACCTTCCAGTTCTTCCATGGTGAACGGAATGTCCATTTCTGGTAATCGCGTCTCAGGAACGATCACGGCGTCGCTTCTCTCGTTCATAATATTCCCGGCAACTCTCGTGCAAAATTCTTCAGCCACCTCGAGTTCTGTTTTTCCATGATGGAGTGCCAAAGCTTTAAAAGGGTGCCGTTGTTGTGAAAAGGAGCGAAGACCACGAACTGTTCTCCAGATATATGACAGCGGTTTATGAGGATCTAGAGATTCGCAGAGTGCTTTCCAGCGGTCGCTCTCCAGTTTGTAAATGCGTCGTTGAATCTTTTTCTGGAGCCGCCTTGCTTCCCTCAGATCGTAAATTGATCTTTTTTTATTTTTTTAGTGTTGAACCAAGCGTTACGAGGTGGTTCGACATGTCCGGCTGATTGCACACACCAAATTGCACATATCATGTGTTTACAGGAGCACACCAAGAGAAGGAGGAAGGAGGAGAACTTGTGCAGTTTAGTCCTATATTTGAAAGCGCAGCAACAGAAAGTATTAATTCTTTCAATATATGTGTATTTATTACATGTGATGAAATAATGTTCATTGTTTTCTATTTCCCCGCATAATTGGCAGAGGATAGATATCGCCAGACCAGCCTCGTGTAAATAAAAAGTTTAGATTTGGCACAGAACATCGAAATTTTATGATTGTAACTTTTGCTTGCTGAGCCACGCAGACTTTCATGGAAATTCCAGGTGCTGATATTATGGCCACGTTGTTATTGCTTCCACCTTATCAGTGCAAATGGTTCGACTTCTATTTGTGATCGCTGTTATGAGTTCTATTTCTGGAAGTCCCTTGATTATTGGGCCATCAAGCGAAGCTCGCGCTAAGAATTTGGCTATTTCATTTGACTTTAAACCGGACTGACCAGGCACCCCCAATCATTTTAGGCGCTTTCGCTGATGTGGAACTAACGTGCGGAACTTTTTTACGCTTTGTGAGTTATGTGAAGCTGTTAGAACTGTGCATCCCGAAAGGGAGTCAGTAATCATGACCATAGTGTATCACTTTGCCTTCCAAAATAATGTCTCTTGTATTGAAGTTAAACAAGTTTTATTGAACCACAACTGAGTTTTTACGTGCCGAAAACGCCATATGACCATGCGACACGCCATCGCGGGGGGTAGGTGGAAATTTCATCATGAACTCTTCTTGTAACGCGGACTTACACCACGTATTGTACACAGTCCTCGAACACATTTTATCAATCTAGACGATACTGCCACAGACACGATTTAATGTGCGGCCTTCGAGTATGCAGCTTAGCACCGAAACCATCGCACAACCTCGATGGACAATACCAAACCGAAATTCTTTATAAGCGAAATACAGGACAAACAACCGGGCTGACTTACCTGAATGGAACGAAGTCAGCCAGGGCTTCCAAGACGAGGCCGAAGACGCCATCGACGTAAAGTTTTCCGTCCCGGTAACCTGCTTGCGAATACGGTGGAGCCTGGAGATACAAATACAAACGAATGCATGGTGTGTGCGATGTAAGTCATGGCTTATTGTTTTATTTTGTTGTATAATTGCCATAGAGCTTATAATCTTGATGTATGCTGTTTCATGAAGCAAGAATCATTTATTGCACCGAAAAACGCCCAGTCACGGGACAATAGATGTTAAGAATGATTATGCTAAGTGGCTGTAGAATGGCGTTAAAGTTCTGCGCATTAAAGCTGCATAAAGCATACAAATATTAAAATCACGAGAGTGACGTGGAAGGAGTGGTGAGTGAGAATGGTAAGTGGTCATGATGATCAAGTTATGCTGATATGCGGCGAACATGAATGCCTAATAAACGGCCCCTGCCCCGAGGTGTATACAGGTGTTTTTTAATACCTGCTAACTTTCCCGAATTGTCCGGGAGATTTTCAAATTTTGCCCTAATATCTCGATTGTACGAATGTTATCTCGAATCTCCCGAAAATTATCCACCACAGCTTTGTTTTTTAAATTAACCGCGTACATCAGCCTTTCCTGCTGTGACAGTGGCGGTGCGTAAGAAAACACGCCACTAAATTACTATTTGATTGTACCATACTATAGAGTATACCGCTAAGTAAATTCTAGGCACCATAGCACCAGCATCATGGGCAAAGACGAGGGCAAAAGTACCACAAATTTAGCATCTGTCTTGGCCCCACATTTCACACGTTATAAGCGTACCCGCCGCTTGCATAGTATATACAGGCGTCAGTTAAGTTTCTTATGTGGTTGTGGAGGTTGCTTGTTTCCCCGAGTTCAATAGAAGGTCGTTCGTGGTGTCAAAAGCAAAGAAGTGCTTGAAAGCGTTTCTGGACTCGTACATGGCTGAGATTCCGTCCGTTGTGACTTCGCCGAAAGCTGGCAAGTGCGGATTTCGTACACTATGTGCACATGTAATGTGAGTGTTTCACACGGCGGCAAGACCGAGATAAAGGTGGGCATCGATTCACGAGAGCATGGGAACAATACGTTCAGTCTGCGGAAGGGCAGAGCAACATCGGGAGTTCCTGCCAAAAGAGCTGCAAAAACAGTGTGATCCACGCAGAAGGCATATTCATGTGATTCCTTGCGGTATCTAGCCGCTAAGCATTCGCGATTGCGCAGGATTGTTGTTTCGGAGAATATTTTCGAAGTGTGGGAACGTGAAGCAGTATACAGGGGCGGACGTACGAGAACAACTGCCGTCGTTGGCGTAACGGCTGCCGGCGCCGAAAACGTAGGCTCTGAAATGTAGTGCTTTCACAATCGCAGTGCATGGATAGAAGCAACGAGAGCAGATCGCAAATGTCTCAATCGCAGTATTTCCGATACGCCCCCTCCCTCCTCCTTCCCACAGGGGTCTCCCAACTTTTCATTCTCCAAGGTTGGCAGGTATATTTATCTAATGTAGCTACCACAGCAGCAATCTCTCCTGAGAGGTCGCGCGAATTATTTTCATCGGTAAACGACGAGAAAACTGCAGACATCTTTTAAAAACGCGAACAGTGACAGAGATTCAAAGTCCAGTTCACTACCAATGAATTTGTATAATGAAGTGGTATTTGTTATCGGTAGGATACTCGAAAGTGTTTATTTGTAAGAGTGCCTAAATAATTGCATTGCATTAAAATAGATGCGCATTAAAGCACTTGACCGTAATAATATTAGGCATGCACATGCAGCCAGACGAGACTGCAGGCGCAGTCTTAGTTCGCAAACACAGCTAAAGTTACTTACAGGACGGGCTATTCCATAAGTGAATACCTCTCAAGAGCACATTTCGAAGTACATTTTCGTGCACAGCTTGTGCCCAGAACACACCCAAAGTAGGTGGCATCCATTTGTTCCGATGGAGCCAATCATTTTGGACAGTGATCTTATTCGGAACCAATAACAGATAGCCACGTTGCAATACCAGTCGTTCTTATTCCCGTAGTTCTAAGGTTTGACCCTTTCAGCTTTAAGGTTTGTCTGATGGTCATTCTAGTACTACTATTATTCTGGTAGGTGTTGTTAGCAGACAAGGAGGTTAAAAAATGTTTTTAAACCTCAACTTTTTCCTCAGACGCTGAGGTTTTTTTCAACCTCAACTTTTTCCTCAGACGCCGAGCTTTTCCCCCACCTCACCCACAGCTCAACCGGGCACAGGCCACCACTTTACGTCCACTTTAAACAAACACGTATTCCTCACCTGCCCGCCTTCACCTCATATTCCCGGACGTGTACACGACTTCCCACTGCTAGTGCTGTGGCACTCACCCGGCTACGCTTCCACAAATGCTGTGGGTGTGCACGGCACACTACAGACATACTAACACCACGACCCTTTCGTCGAAGCTCCATTAGGCTCTGCGGAGCCCCGCTCTTGACGATCAAACATGCGCGACCCAGCAAGCCCGTGAGGCGGCGTCGAGGCGAGCCCTTGACGACCTCTCATGGGAGGCCTAGGCCCACCCACCTAAACCTGCTAGTTTCTTATAATAAAGATTATTCCTCCTCTTCCCTCCTCGGTAGCAGCTATATGGATGTACGATATGGGTATGCGCCACTGTGTTTTCACGGTAACGACGAAGCATGTGCGAGCCTCGAATAGTTGGTCAGAGCACGTCCAGAAAAGATACAGTGCATTACGCAGCGAAGACGCCGAAGCCAAGGTTCCACAGCTTCACAAGCTCTTCCCAAAGTGTGGATGAAGAGCGTTCTGCCCTTCGTTGCTGGCGTGAACGTTGTACACTTCAAACACATGAGTGTTTCTGCTGATGAGCTGTGCACATGCACCACCGCATTGTGTACACTGTTACAAATGAAAATGAAAGTGTTCCGTCATTGTACATCTCAGTAATGCTTTCCTTTTGATGTTGTTGAAAACACACGGTTCCTTATGAGTTTTCAATTGCGCCCAGCCGAGATATGCGAAGCTTGTAGTGTGCCTGATGAAGTGACAAAAACCGGGCGACTATGTGAAATACCTCGATGTTACCGTGAATTTCGTTGTGGGTTGGAGAAGGAGTTTAGAACCCTGGCTCCTTAAATTTTGTTAGAGGGGTGAGACTATTTCACTGACAATAAATAATAAAGTAGGAATTATTTTGTCAAATAGCCAAAGGTTTCTGCATGTAAGATTCCCCCCCCCCCAAAAAAAAAAAAAATCCTGGCTATGGTCCTGTTTGGATTGCTTACGAAATCGCAACGTTAAAAAATGAAGGCAAGCTCCACAGCAGCATAATTGTCACAAGGCTGCATAAAACACTGAATCTGATGTTGGAATGATTTCTAAATGACCCTTTGAGCTCGCGCGATACCTTCTCCATTGCGATATGCACATGCGTTGGAGTCATTATTTGCAGATATAGGTGTAAGGTCCTCTACGTAGTTGCTCATAGCAGTCAAGTATGATAGGCCAATAACCGTATCTTTAAGTCTATATCGTATGTAGAGACGCACATAGGGATAGTAGTGTACCCGGGACGGCTTTATGCTATCCCATAGTAGAATACTTAGTACTCTGAATCGTTAACAAGTCTTTCTAATCATATAGTGTTTTTGATCATCAACCACGTTTTATAAACACACCGTAGTTTCTTGTTAATACGTCCCGATGAAGGCATTTAGTTACCCGGTGCTCTTCTACTGACCCAAACTGCTGTTACGTATGCTGTGAACTTCACTCTTTGAGTCTTTTTGTGACAGAAGGGCGACTCAATAGAGATCACAACCGATCTGAAGGTGGATAGAAAACTATACAAGAAAATATTTGACATAACCAAAACAGTAGAGGCTCATGGCAAGGGCCTGTGAAAGCAGCAATGATATGAGCTTTGTGACTCTATGGAGGGTCAGCTCAGAACCGGTAAAAGCTGGAGACTCCTCAAGCACCTACTGCATGATGGCAGCACTAAATCTAGTCAGCATAGATCGTTGGTGAAAGACCCACCAACTCGACTCCAGATGAGGCGATAACAGAACAGCTGATAAACAAGTACTTGACCGCCACGGCCGACCCACTTTCTTTTCAGTTTCCATGTTAGGACCGGCGCGACGGGCCATCGATGGACGAGGACTTCACCATGACTGAGGTTGAACATTTTCTCGCATCCCTCGACGGGAGATATACCCTTGGACCAGACGGCATAACCAACAAAATGCTCAAGCAGCTCGACGATGACTCCATCAAATTTATTTCTTTAGGACAAAATCAACGAAATCTGGTGGAGTGGTCTCATTCCTAAGAGCCGGAAAGCGGCGCGGCCAACTGCACCGTACTGATACCCAAGCCGCGTAAGGCGCCAAGCATCCAGAACCTCAGGCCAATCTCACTGACGTCGTGCGTCAAGAAATCACAGCATATCCACCACGGAGTGAATGATGACGAGTGGGGCTAAGCGTCCGTCCATCCATCTGTCCATCCATGCTTTCGCCCATCCATGCGTTTTTGCTTCCGTCCGTCCATGCGTCCGTCAATCTGTCCATCCATCCGCGCTTCTGTCCATCCGTCCATCCAGACGCACGGAAGGATGGACACACTGTGTTCCATTGGTTATGACAGAACCAATCATAGTGTCAAGTACGGTCTACTAATTTGGGCGCTGTTCACAAACCGGGGGCATCTTCTTTTATTTGTGTATCGTTCCACCAAGTGCCGAATAGCACCCATGCAATAAATGTGTCAGAAGCTCTTCGTAATGATAATTTTTAGAGGTACGTGGTGTTTAAATTTATTTAAAGCTTTTAATGGTTGTACTAATTCTGTTTTAAAATAACCAGCCCGATGGCCTCTGAGATTAGCACCAGCCGAACGTCTTACAACATCGTGACCGCAGCTAAACCCGAGGCCACGTGTTAATAATCATAGTCAGCCTGTACATTCTAGCTCACTGCTTGGGCGGTGCGCGTCTTCTTTGTTTTCATCACCCGCTAAAACCTGAGCACTTGTGGCCGGCTAATTAGTTATTCGGAGGGATGCTATACTTGGCGAGTTAGGCCAGG